CACTGTCGAACTCACGACGTGAATCTTAAGGGATTCACGACGTGAATCCTGGGCACCATCATACCATTTTTCTGTTTAATTCTAATCTGTTGGATTTTTCTTGTTTGGTTTTTGTTGTTTCTTTTTTTGCAGAAATGGCTCCTAGACGCGAGGCTCCAACAGGGGTGGCTAGTTTGCACTCGTTCTATGTTTTTCCAACAACCTTATCGTGGGATGTTTTCACTCGTTGCAACAACTGGTTAGGATGGTTGTACAACCGGAAAATTACTGATGCACCCACAATTAATTGGCAAAGGTTGAGGGAGGTTGGATTGGTTGATCGGTTAAACCCACTTCTTACAAAGTTATTTTTGGGGAACGGATTTTCTTTTACATGCAAGGGGTGGCATAATTTGTTTGCTATCCAGGAAAGGGTGTACAAGGAGTTATGTGTGGAGTTCTTTTCGACTGTGGCATTCCATGAGAATGTCCAAGACCCGACCTACCAACAAGCCTTGGTTTTCCGTCTAGGTGTAGAATACCGAGAATGTAGTTTGGTCGAGTTTTCTTGGAGGATGGGGTTGATAGGTTTTATACAAACAATCCTATGTGTGCATCCAACCCTAATTGGATCTATGTTTTCACTATAAGACATACAACTATATGAACACAAAATAAACCCTAGCATGCTTCTATAATTTTCGAAAAATCATATAGAAGTGTAGTATACATACCTTTGTTGTTATATTGCAATAACAACTAGTTTTCTTGATCTCTTGAACTCTTGAAAGCAAGCACCACAATTGTAGTGCCTCTAATGGCTCACAAACACCTTGAAGCAAGAAGGCAATTAAGAGAGAGAGGGGAAGGATGCTAATTTCGGCCCTAGGGTTTCCCTTGGAATCAAGTGGCCTAAAATTGAAGCATAGGGCATCTATTTATACTGTAGGGTGCTAGGGTTTCAGTCTAAACCCTAATGGATAGCTTAGCCACCAAGCAGCCCAAGGAACCTTCTGGAATGAGGCCCTTGGACGAAAATATGATGATCCCTCATCATAATTTCGTTCCCCCTTAGTCCATTAGGTTTCCCAGCCCAAAACTCAACTATCACACATTTGACAGTTTATACCCCTTTATTTAATTAATCTCTTTTAGTCACCAAATTAATTCCTAATTAATTTATGACTAATACTAATTAAATAAATATGATTTCTCCTTTAATATATTATTCTTATAATATATTAATAAACCATAATATCTTCTCTCTCATATCAAATTACCTTGTCAAGTTGCTTTGGTGAAGGCAACCCAAAAGGACCATGCACACTCGGGTCAAGTACATACCAAATATAGTTACGGACTTAGACACTAATCCAACAGTCTCCCACTTGGATAAGTCTAGTAACTACATCTCACATATGACTTCCGTATCCGATTAGCAATCGTAGCTTTCAATAGCCGCTGTCAACTCTGACCAATAATCTGTCCTTCAGATAAGGGATCGTATAATCCTCTGTTCTAGATATCATGCTAACAATACTTATTGTTTAGCATTTTATTTCTTGATCTCTGATTTGTTCGACATAGAACTCAGTTGAACACATCAACTTCATCCTGACCGGGCCTAGCACATAAGTCAAACCAAATCATCAAGTGGCCAAGATATCGCTTTTATTCTCATAGAATAAAAGGAACAGAAAAACGTCGACTAATATGCCTTTATCATTTACTAATTAAACCACACACAATAATGCGTTTTATAACATCAAGTTACTGATGTGTTTTCGCATTATCAATGTATAATCAACTAGCAAACAATAACCATATCTCTAGGTTTAAAGATTATATGATATTATCATCTTGCGATCACTTGTGATAACATTCATGAAGTGATACCAGCAAGTGTGGGTCTATTCCAATGCTCAATACAAATTTCATAAGCACTCATAAACTTTGCAGCAAACCTTTGCTATGTCTAAAACTTTTCAGACAATCTACAAACAAATTTATGACAATCTTCCTTCATATCTACTTCCAACATATGAACGATTGTGGACTGTTCGAATAATCTTATTATTCAGGAAGTTAAAACATGCAAAATTGAAACAATAGATAAATAATCAACACAAGATAGAAGCTTTCTTATAAATAACACACCTTTATTTAATCATCAAATGTTGAATACATGATCATCCATTACAAGTTTCCTACCTATCTAATCTAAACTAATATCGTCCTTCAGCCCTACGCTCCTAGCGTGCTGCAAATGCTTAACCCTACTCAGTCCCTTCGTGAGGGGATCTGCTGGGTTATCTTCTGACGATACCCTCTTCACAACGAGGAGTCCCTCTTCTACTCGATGTCTAATAAAATGGTATTTCCTGTCGATATGACGAGATCTGCCATGATCCCTTGGTTCCTTGGTTAAGGCAACCGCTCCTTCATTATCACAGAAAATTTCCATGGGCTCTTTTATGGATGGCACAACTCCAAGGTCTCCAATGAAGTTCTTCAACCATATAGCCTTCTTTGACGCCTCGCTCGCCGCAATGTACTCTGATTCGCACGTTGAATCAGCTACGGTTTCTTGCTTGGAACTTTTCCAAGTCACTGCTCCTCCATTCAGGGTAAAGACCCAGCCCGACTGCGATCGGTAATTATCCCGATCTGTCTGGAAACTAGTGTCACTGTACCCTCGCACCCTTAAGCCATCACTCCCACCCAGGACTAGAAACCATTCCTTAGTCCTTCGTAGGTACTTAAGAATATTCTTGACAGCAATCCAATGTGCCCTACCAGGATTCCCTTGATATCTGCTGACCATGCTCAAAGCGAAAGCCACATCAGGGCGAGTACAGGTCATAGCGTACATAATTGAGCCAACTGCGGAAGCGTAAGGTACTCGGCTCATGTCAGCTATTTCTGCCTCTGTACTCGGGCTCTGAGTCTTACTCAAATTTGGTATTGCATTGGATTGGTAACTCCCCTTTCTTGGAATTTTCCATACTAAAACATTTTAGTACCCTTTCCAAGTATGTATCCTGACTGAGTCCTATCAGTCTCTTACTTTTGTCTCTCACTATCCTTATTCCCAGAATATATGCAGCCTCTCCGAGGTCCTTCATAGCGAAACACTTCCCAAGCCAGGACTTGACCTCCTGCAATGTTGGGATGTCGTTTCTATGAGTAGTATGTCATCGACATACAATACGAGGAAGCTCACTATACTCCCACTGGCCTTGACATATACACATGACTCATCTTCATTTCGCAGAAGCCAAACTCTTTGACCTTCTCGTCAAAACAAAGATTCCATCTGCGAGACGCTTGCTTTAATCCATAAATGGATTTCTCAAGCTTGCACACTCTATTTGGATGCTTTGCATCGACAAAACCCTCTGGATGATTCATGTAAACATCCTCAGCCAACTTCCCATTTAGGAAAGCGGTTTTTACGTCCATCTGCCAAATTTCATAATCATGAAACGCAGCTATCGCAAGCATTACCCTAATAGACTTTATTTTCGCAACTGGTGAGAAGGTCTCATCATAGTCAACTCCAGGAGTTTGAGTAAAGCCCTTCGCGACCAATCGCGCTTTATAAGTGTGCACTTTCCCATCCATGTCTGTCTTCTTCTTGAAGATCCACTTGCACCCGACCGTCTTACGACCTGGCACATTGTCAACCAAATTCCAAACTTGGTTGTCATACATGGACTGAATCTCGCTATCCATTGCCTCTTTCCATTTAACAGACTCTGGGCCTGCCATGGCTTCCTTGTAGCTGTTAGGTTCGTCCAGATTTACTAGTGTACTATCACTAATAAACGTATCCCCGTCAGTAGTAATATGGAAACCATAAAACTGGGGTGGAACAACAACTCTACTTGAACGTCTAAGAGGTAAGGACTGGTCAATAGGTTCAACAGGAGTTTCCTCCTCAGGTTGCATGCCAGTGTCAGAGGTTCCTTCTTCTCCTGACTCTTGAAGCTCTTCAAGGTCAATCTGACTCCCACTGTCTCCTTGGCTTATGAGTTCTCTTTCTCTGAAAACCCCTCTCCTAGCAACAAAGACAACATTGTCATTTGGTCTATAGAAGAGATAACCAAAAGACTTCTGTGGATAGCCGATGAAATAACACTTCTCACTACGAGGTTCTAGCTTGTCGTGAGTCTCTCGTCTTACGAAAGCTTCACAACCCCAAACCTTGATATGTGCTAACGAGGGAGCTTTCCCTGTCCACATCTCGTGAGGCGTTTTGGTAACCTTCTTGGTGGGAACTAAGTTAAGGATATGGGCGGCAGTCTCCAAGGCATACCCCCAGAATGAGATTGGTAACGAAGCACGACTCATCATAGAGCGAACCATGTCCAACAAGGTTCGATTACGTCTCTCAGCCACACCATTCAATTGTGGCGTTCTAGGAGGCGTCAATTGTGAAACTATTCCACACTCTTTCAGATAGTCGTAAAACTCAAGACTTAGGTACTCTCCCCCTCGATCAGATCGAAGCATCTTGATTTTCCTGCCCAACTGATTCTCCACTTCATTCTTGAACTCTTGAACTTTTCAAAAGTTTCTGACTTTGCTTGATTAAGTAGATATATCCATATCTGCTATAATCGTCTGTAAAAGTCACGTAGAAGCGACAAGCGTCCCTTGTGGTGGATCTAAAGGGTCCACATACATCTGTGTGTATGAGATCCAATACACCCTCACCCCTTTCACATGTGCCAGTAAAGGGTGACTTGGTCATCTTCCCAAGTAAACAAGACTCACACACGTCATCGTCCCTAAGGTCGAAAGACTCCAAGACTCCATCCTTTTGGAGTTGGGCTATGCGTTTCTTGTTCACATGGCCAAGGCGACAATGCCACAAGCATGCTTTGTCCAAACTTGTGGACGAATCAATATTCAAAACATCATTTCCTAAATTATCAATAACTAACACAGATTCATAAATCCCATTACAAGGTAATGCATTGAAATAAAAGACACCATTCAAATAAGCATTAATAGAACCATTACTATTATCAGATGAATATCTGAAACCTTGTCTAAACAAACCATGAAAAGAAATGATGTTTCTTGCCATATCTGGCGAATAGCAACAATTATTTAAATCTAGCCCTAACCCATTACTCAACACTAAGGAATAAACTCCGATCTTGGTTACTGGTGAAGACTTCTTGTTTCCCATGATCAAGCTTATCCTTCCATGCTCCACTTCCCTACTTCTTTTTAGGCCCTGCATATCAGAACAATTGTGGTAACCACACCCTGTATCAAGAACCCATGAAGTAGCAAATGATGAGTTATTAGATTTAATTAAATACATACCTGCGAAGGTGGGTTTTATCTTCCCATCCTTAATATCTTGCAGATATTTAGGGCAGCTTCGTTTCCAGTGGCCCTTCTGGTGGCAATAGAAGCACTCTGCTTCCTTGGGGTCAGAAGAGGGCTTAACAGAACCTGCTTTGGTCCCACTAGAAGAAGAACCATCTTGGGTCTTACCCTTATGGTGGCTCTTGTAAGGAGCCTTCCTCTTCTTTCCCTTTCCTTGGCCAATTGCCAACACAGGAGCAGCTACAGTAGAGGATGATGCAACAGATTTGTCCTTGAGGTTGCTCTCAGCTGTCCTCAGGAGCCCTTGAAGCTTACTTAGGGTGACCTCTTCCTTATTCATGTGGTAGGTCATTCTGAACTGGCTGTAGCAGGAAGGCAAGGAGTGGAGGATGATGTCGATAGCCAAATCCTCATCAAACTTAACATTAAGTTTGAGAAGATGATCAACATATCTTTGCATTCTTTGCAAATGAGCAGTTAGGGATTCTCCACTCCCCATCTTAGCGGTGATCATGTTGGTGATGATCTCATAGCGCTCTTGCCTCGCGCTCTGGTGGTACCTGTCCAGCAAATCTTGATGCATCTCATATGGATACATGTCCTCATAGGACTTTTGGAGTTCGAGGTTCATGGTGGCCAACATGATGCAATGAACTTTCGTTGCATCACGCTCGTGGGCCTCAAAGGCGGCCATCTCTTCAGGAGTAGCTTCTTCTGGGTTGATCCTTTCAAGCTTCTCGTCTAGGACATATTCTTTGTCCTCATAACGAGTTATCATGCGAATGTATCTCATCCACTCCTTGAAGTTCGAGCCATCAAATGTCACTTTTTGACACAGGTTCATCAACGAGAATGACCCAGAAGTGTTGTTGTTTGCGTTCGCGTTTGACATCTGAAATAGAAAGGAACAAAGTTTGATTAGAATGAATCCCTAATTAAACACCCACATGAGAAATTAGGGCTAGGATCCAACAACATTATTTACAACTTAGAAAAGGGATGCCGTAATCTAAAAGTAAATAATTTGAAGGTAAGTGAATGACGATTCACTAATTTTCACCATGAAAAACGAAAGAGGTTAAGTTTTAAATGTATTTGAAAATTCCTAGATTTCTTTTGAGATTCATTGAACATTTCAATGGCATGTTTAAATCTCGATATGCACTTCAAATTTGCGACTGGGATGCCGAGGATCGCAAACAAGTTTGTGAATAACCATGCGAATCATCATGGTGCACTCAATGTCTTCATCACCTAATCAATGTGCTGGTTAGCCACGCACGCTCCATTGATCTATGATAAGACATCGAGCCACCCTTTGTCACCAATGTCAATCCCAAATTAGTGTGCTGGTTAACCACGCACGCTCCACTAACGTTTGACAGGGGTACAAAGTGTAATTCCATGGAATAGCATCATTTTCACATTTTACCCTAAAGTAACTAAGAGTGGGAATTTGTAAAACAATGTAGTTACTTTAATATTTCCATTATACTTATAATGAGGAATTAAGTGCCCTATCCTATCCGTTCGGCTAACGACCCTCCACCAGTCAAGCAAGCGGTAGATGTGAGTGTACATCCATTAAGCGCCATTTTATAGGCAGCAACCTTATACCCACCTTATAGACTGGCTTCGTGAATGAGGCCTACTAGCGATAAGACTAGCTTATTCTTATACATATATATAATAATTAATCTTATAATATCATAATTGTATAAGGGTGTATTTTAAAACATTTTAAAATACTAGTGTCTTTGTTGCATTTAAAATTTTCGAAAATTAGACAATTTAATTTAAAATTTTAAACACCAAAAATCTTTGATTTAATAATTATCAAAATTGAACAATTAATTTAAATTATTAAATCATGAAGGATTATCATAAAATTAAACAATTAATTTATCCTAATCCTTTTTATCCCCTAGATTTCGAAATTTATGGAAAGGATAATTCAAGATCTTCAATTATCTAGTTTAAACAATTAAGTTGATAATCACAAAGATGGCATTATCCAAATCCCTAAAATTTTGGGATCTTGTCTTGGGGGGCAAGGGATTTTCGAAATCCCTAGGGTTTCATAACCCTAATTTCGAAATTTGGAGGCTAGGCAAAAAGGGTTTAAGAACCCTACAAAAAATCGCCAACTAGGGTTTCTTAACCCTATTTTCGAAAAACACCAAGCCTTAGGGTTTACTTGCCATAAACCCTAATTTGTCAAATTCATAATATGTATCAAATCAAATTGAAAACAAAAACCAAAGTCTCTGATACCACTGATAGGTTTTATACAAACAATCCTATGTGTGCATGCAACCCTAATTGGATCTATGTTTTCACTATAAGACATACAACTATATGAACACAAAATAAACCCTAGCATGCTTCTATAATTTTCGAAAAATCATATAGAAGTGTAGTATACATACCTTTGTTGTTATATTGCAATAACAACTAGTTTCCTTGATCTCTTGAACTCTTGAAAGCAAGCACCGCAATTGTAGTGCCTCTAATGGCTCACAAACACCTTGAAGCAAGAAGGCAATTAAGAGAGAGAGAGGGGAAGGATGCTAATTTCGGCCCTAGGGTTTCCCTTGGAATCAAGTGGCCTAAAATTGAAGCATAGGGCATCTATTTATACTGTAGGGTGCTAGGGTTTCAGTCTAAACCCTAATGGATAGCTTAGCCACCAAGCAGCCCAAGGAACCTTCTGGAATGAGGCCCTTGGACGAAAATATGATGATCCCTCATCATAATTTCGTTCCCCCTTAGTCCATTAGGTTTCCCAGCCCAAAACTCAACTATCACACATTTGACAGTTTATACCCCTTTATTTAATTAATCTCTTTTAGTCACCAAATTAATTCCTAATTAATTTATGACTAATACTAATTAAATAAATATGATTTCTCCTTTAATATATTATTCTTATAATATATTAATAAACCATAATATCTTCTCTCTCATATCAAATTACCTTGTCAAGTTGCTTTGGTGAAGGCAACCCAAAAGGACCATGCACACTCGGGTCAAGTACATACCAAATATAGTTACTGACTTAGACACTAATCCAACAGGGGTTGTATGAGACCCATGAGACCATGACTCATGAGTTTGTTATATTTTTACGAGAGGCTGTACGTGGATATGAGGGAGGAATTTCCGGGTCCGAGTTCTGGAGCAACATTGCATCGGGGTTGTTTAATTCCGGGGTGTCACCGGAAAGCAGTATCAAGTCGCCAATTCACCGTCTCATTTACCGACTCATCACTTTTTCTATCCATCATAGGCGCCATGGAGACAAGGTTACAAAGATTAATTTGTTCTTTTTATGGTCTATTTTGCAGTCGGGAATGTGCTTCAACGTCCCGTACTTTCTAGCCCGCTACTTGGCGGAATATGTTGTGAGTTCCCGCCCTGGGAGCCCGATATGTGGGGGACATTTTGTGGCCCAGTTGGCCTGGTCCTACGGTATAATAATTCCTAACATCACAAGGACCTTTGACTTGCATGGATGGGGAGTGAGTTTTCCTTGGGATATTTGGAGACAATGAAGGTGGTGACCAACTATGGGACGCATTGGGGGATTGTATATTCCGATGGTGAAGAGGATGATGAACAACAAACCGAACAAGGTGACCAACCCGCACCCCAACCGAGGCCAAGAGGAAGGAGAAATGTGAGACGAAGAGGCGAGAGAGAACAACCGGTGCACCAGAATGCACCCATGGGAGGACCCAACTTTGGGGGAGACATGTCGGGATATTTTGATCAGTTATCGTTAAGTGTGAATTGGATTGGTGGGACGGTGGAAAATTTGGTGCAACACTTGCATGTTAAGCAACCTCCTCATTTGGGGTATCATTACCCAATTTTCCCTAGGTGGAGTGAGTATCAAAGTCAAGGAGGAGATGGAGCGGGAACGAGTGGAGCTCAAAGAGATGAAGATGGCGATTGATTGCTTTATTTTGTTTAGTTTTTAGTTTTTAGTTGATTTGGTTTTTCTTTTTTTCTTTTTTTTGAAATTTGATTTGGTTTGTAAGACTCTTTAAGCTATTATGTTACTTTTCTATTTCTTTTGGTTGTTAACTTCCAGATTTGCTAAAGGAGTCACGGGAAGGAAAGTCGAGATGAGAGCGTTTACGTTTAGCCAAGCGTTGTTTAGAGTTTAGAGTCGAGAGTCGAGACCCACAATTTGACATAAGTGTGGGGTGAGTCAAGAGAGAGGATAGAGTTAGAGAAGGGTCATTAAAATTCTACATTTAGAAGAGTCTTTATCCATTAAGATGTTGGGGTGAAACGCCAAAATTAATAAGAAGAATGGGCAATTTCAATTTTCAGTCGCCCAGTTCTCACGTCGTGAGGTCTATATCGCACATCGTGAGCTCGGTTATGAAGGGTTCAGAATTCACGTTTTTCACGGTCTCACGTCATGATCATTATTGCACACGTCGTGAGTATTCTATTTTCACAATAATGAAGCCTTTTCATTCCTATTTACTACATGGGTAACCACCATTCTGTTTGGAGTTATTATGAAGATTCTTCTAGCTCGTTTCCTCTACCATATAATGTGGCGTATGCTTTCCCACATTATTCTTCACACCTTGGAGATTTACACCATTATTATTGAAGGTTGACGTTTCGATTTCGTATTTTGTTGGCGCCTTACATTTTTCGCAAGTTCAAGCACTAAGTTCCTATATAGAAGAAGTCCATATTCGAAATGCACATTTCATCCGCACGATTGGAATTCAATCTTGCCACTGCTATCCCAGGGGAGTATGTTCCTTTTTCTCCCTTTTATTGCTTTTTAATTTATTTTATACATACAATGAGGGCATTGGATGTAATAAGTGTGGGGTAGGGGGTCGAAAAAGTAAAAAGTAAATTGCTAGAAAAGTTAAGCATATAAGAAAATTTAAAAATTTTAGAAATTCAAAGGTTTGAAAGAATAATCTAATAATTTAATCTAGTAATAGTTTGAACTTTAGTTACTAGTGTTGCATGGGGTGATCCGATGAGAGCTCAAATTTTTAGTTGAGCCAATATGTGTTATAGTGCATTTGTGGCCTCCTTTATTCTAGTGAAATCATGGGACAAAAACACAGCCTCGCTTAGTTTGAGGGATGCAACATGTTTAGCATCTTGTACTTGAAATATATCCAAGAAAGCTTATGTAGTCATTGCACATAGGCTAATACCTTAACCAATAAGGGTTGAAGTTAAGCGCCCCTGCTTAAGCATGTAGGTTTTGAGTGAAAAAAAAAAAGAAGTGAGTACATGCAAAAACGAGAGAGAGAAATTACCGAAAAGTTGAAAGAACTTTTGGAGCAATCAAAGTATGAAGATCAAAAGATCAAAGTTCTGACGAAATTCAAAAAGTTGAAGATACCAAAAATCACACAAAAAGGTGGTGAATTCAAAGAAATTGAAGATCAAATATCAAAGAACGTGAAGAATTCAAGAGCTCTATATTGTGGTATCTTAAAGTTGTAATTCTCTAGATTATGTATGCTTGGGTAGCTTACAAAAATACCTTGAGGTTAGAAAGTTTTCTGCGGATGGATTCGGAGGGATGCATAAAATAAGCATTGTTCAAAAGAAGTGGGCGAGTGTTTATGAGGATTGTGAGTATTTAGAATTAAGGGGGGGGTCCTTAGGAAAATTTTAGACAAAAATACATGCGTTGAGGTCTTGGCATAATGGCTAAGTTTGAAATGGATTGTTCTATGTGATGTTGGTGATGAAGGTTTGAATTAAAAATAATTAGATTTGCTTGAGGGCAAGCAAAGAATAAGTGTGGGGTATTTTGATATTGCCGTATTTATACATGTTTTTAGGCAATATTTACTTATATTTTTATTAATATTTTGGTTATTTGCATTGAATAATGGTACTTATGAGGATAAATTGTTCTTTGCAGCCAAGTAGAAATATTCTTGGAGAAAAGGACTAAAAATGACAAAACATGGAACTTTGGAGGCTTGGAGAATAAAAGAAGAAAGAAGCTTACGTAATCTGCTGACTTCACGTCGTGAGGCTTATAGATTCACGACGTGAACACGAATCTTCCAGAAGATAGACATCGCGAAGAAGAGTCCTTAGCCAACACGGAAATCTACTATTCACGTCGTAAGACTTACCTATTCACGACGTGAGTTCGTAAAAATCAGAAACTATATATACTCTTGCTCATTACGATTGGAGGGACTTTTTGGCTGCCTTAAGGGTTCCTGGAGACGATTTTCAGAAGGAGAAAAGTTCTGGAATTGGCCTTGAACACCAAAGGAGAAGAGAAGTTCATAATTGGATTCTAGTTTTGGTACACTTTACTTATGTTTTTTAATATGATTTGTTTATGTTTGTTTGCTAGTATGTCTAGCTAAATCTAGCTGCTTCTGTTAGCTAGATGAAGTTGGAACTCATGGTTTCAATAACTTAGTTTTGATTTACTAGTTGGTTATGACTTGTGTTTGATTGTTTGAACCTAGCATGTTTGATTTGATATTTGATTGCTTTAAATTCTTGTTTTGTGTAGTTAGTGAATATGAATCTGCATGAAATTGAATACCTAATAATTCAGTAAACACTAGGTTATTAGAGCTAAGATCAAACCAATCTTAGATAAGCAATTTAGTTATTAAAAATTAGGTTGTGCTAGAGAACTCAAATTATGAATATAATCGTGTTTTGTTAATCAATCTTACATAGCTCCAATTCCATTTAATAATTGATTCTGTGTAGCTATTGTGTGACCATACATAAATTTACATGAATTAATTAAAGTTAGTAGATGTAGAACTAAATTGTTAATGCTATCTTAATTGGTAACCAACAGTAATTGTCATAGCTAATCTATAAACCATTGAGGGAAAGCGGATTCGAACTAACAGAAGTGTTTTGTTTACTGGTTGAATTTGTGTTAAAGAATTAAGTTTATCTAAACTTGCAAAATTAGATAAATCTCATTTCTTTGTTAGTAATTAGGTTAATTTAGTAGTAGATAGATTAATTAGTCAAAACCGTTCCCTGTGATCGACACCCGACTTACCCGACTATTCTATAATTTGACTAGGTACACTGCCAAGGTGCAATTTAGTTAGTTAAGTTAGTTAGGTTATAAATATAAAATTAGGTGTAGCTATTTGCACGCATCATAGACTAAACCCAATATATTTATTAGTTGTTTTAATCAAGTGTAATTATATATTTTTATTTTGTAAAATTATCTTTTTGCTTTATATATTATGTTTAAATTCAAGAAAAAAACATAGGTTTGAGCAATTAAGAGTTTAATAAATGATTTTTTAATGAGATTTTCTATCATTTCTAATAAATGTAATTACAAGTTATAAAAAAATCGATAAAAGTATAATTTTGTCATACTATATAATTTACCTCCAACTCCTTTGACAAATCTGCAAACCAAACATAAAACAAATTCCATTAATGTCAACCAAATGCATAATTTATTCCAATTTATTCGGTTTCCAATTCTTCTACAAATTCTCTTCATTTCATTTAATTTTCATAGGCACATTCACATTAATTAACATTAATCATTCAACAAGCTTCTATTTCCCTTGCGAAATTTAAATCTTCATATGGTCTCCATATAAGGTTGAAGGGTATGGGCAACATGTTATAACATATTAAGACACCAAAAAGATGTCACCTCACATGTCATGTCACCATGTTGTTATAACACCAATTCGATAAAATAGGCAACATGTTATAACACCCTCTATTTTCCAGGTCATCATTTCTTTTCTTTTTTTTAAATAATTTTAAAAAACAAACATAAATTAATAAAACATGTTA